ATATATATGTATATATATGTATATATTGTTGTCCCAGTTGGCAGGGACCATATACCAGGTCCCCCTCACCATGGAGGAGTGGTGGAGATTGCAGAGAATACCACGATGGTGCACGCCAGTCACAACAGATCCCTAAACCAGTGGATGCCTTCTCAATGGCAAAACAATAACACTGCGGGACGAGCCGGAGACACTAAAAAAGGAAGCCAAGCACTGACCAGGATCAACAACAATACTCTTTGAATAATCAGAGCAGCAAGGGCTTAGACTAGCCTTTAACAGAAAGAATTACAAGGAATATTTTTGTATTGAACTTGAATGTGACATACTCAAAAGCAGTAAATTAAGTAATTGAATGAACAAGATTAAACAACTTTGCATTTAAATCCCTAACACCTAGGTAACATAACCACCAACCACCAACAAATAAAAGGTAATTTTAAAATATCAGAGAGGTTAAAAGTCTTTAATAGTTTTAAATGAGAAACATTGCAGTCTTTGTGTGCTCGGTCTTCACCGGCTGGCTCGAACTCTGTCCACCGTGGCAGCTGCTCACTCTTTCCTTTTAATAGCTGTGGGGACGATGTTGACACCGGAGCCTGGGGAGTGCCGTCGTGTCCAAGGTTGTCTGTCGCCATGGCATGGTGGGACTGCTGTTCCCTTCCTCTTTGTCTTACTTTGATTCCTTCACAGTGCGCCCATAGGTACAGTGAGAGAGATATATACACAACGTCAATGCCCACATGTGCACGTGGTCATTACATATTCAGATCCGATTATTTTAAAGGAGAAGGAAATTACAGGGGAATTATTATGATACACTTAAAAGAAGGGAACTGTACAACGTGATCTACACGCTCTTAAAATAATCAAAACCAAAGATTCTGCCAGATCTGGTCATCAGTTAATTGAGGGGAACTCCTGGTATTCATTTCTCAGGTACCTAACAATCTAAGGGAGAGCATTAGCCAATATTGGTCATACAAGGGCCACCAATATCATGGTCTGATATGTTCAATTCGACTGTCAATCCAATTCTGAGTACCCCGCATCATCAATCCACTGCAATTTAGCTGAATCAGAATAGTGCACACAGTGTAGGAGCATGTGTTGCATGTACACAGGGATAAGCAAAGACCACAGGTTTACTGACTCCAGATGAATCCAGAATGTCGTGCTTGCGTGGCTCATTATTGTCAGACAACGCTTGACCCTTCCAAACATGGTAATAGCAGCTATGTGGTGGAAAATGGGGAATTGCTATCTCCTTTGGTAAGGGGACACCTTTCTGGCAGATCACATCAACTACATAACCTACATACTAACCAGGTTTGCAAATGAAACCAGGTTTCCAACTCCTCTCAGATAACAATGATAATTGGCTGCATGACAAACTCGGTCCGTGGGGAGAAGTTATGGTTCAAATTCTCATTCCCATACTAATGGCATCTAGTGTACTCCTGTGTATTTGTACTTGCACCCTGACATGCATGAATGATGGTGTAGTGGGAGGTCAAATCCAGAAGTGCGTATATTTACCTTCCAACAAGGATTAGAGAACTGGTTAAACTGAACCTGATTATAAACAAATGAGAATAGATTATCATGACCTTTTTTCCTGACCCTAGATTAGGAGAAAAGCAAAAGTTTTTAATTCTACAGCTTGCTCAAAAATGTGTTAGTCCTAAAACGGTGATTTTCCTTGGGAAAATAAACCATAATAAGACATATAATGTTTTGAATTAATATGCATATTAATATATACAAATATAGAATGTTTTGAACTATGCATCAACCTTTATGCCTCACGTGGAACATTTTCTTTATTTTCAAATTTGCATTGCATCTGTCAATGTTTATTATGTTTAAAAGTTTTTACTAAAAGTTTGATGTTTTACCTTAAAGCCTTAACATTGATTATAGGCCTTGTTGTGCACATATTAAGTGCTTTAATCAGTCGGGGGTGTTTGTTAAGCAGTATTAAAGCAAAATATAGTATGAATTATTTATACAACATATTGTATGGCATACTACACTACAGTATGACATTTTTATTTCCTTTTTATGTCACATCACACTTCCATTTTTACATTTTTTTTCAATGATATTCCATAGAATAGTGACAAAATCCACGTACGGAGGAGGTCACGTTGGAATGATGGATCAACAAAACATTGAATTAACATGAGACTGCTGTTTTTTTTCTTCTTTTTTCAACCAACATCCTTTTTAACACAGGAACTCAATCTTCCAATCCATAAGTATAACATATCCATGTTTTTTATTGTAACAATGTAATTTCATGTCACATGCATTTCTCTTAAAAGTTAAAAGCTGTTTTTGGAAACCCTGCATCATAAAAGTTGCTTCTGCCTCTAACTGCTGATCATGTTTTCATCTAAATTTCTAGATCTTTGTAGTTTTGGGCAGTGTGTAACATTTATCTCATAGAGATGACACATCTAACATTTTCTTTTGTTAAATTAAACTTTGAAGTAATGTAACATGGGTAAGGCTTTTAACTGGATTAGACAATGCTTGACATTTAACACAACTCTTATGTATGTATAAGTCCCAAGCTTTTTATTTTCCACACATCAGTTGATATCTCACCGGTAAATGGTTTCCACAGGACAGCAATGATGAAATGGTGACACTTATAGACACAATAGAGAAAACTAGAGTAAAGTGTTTTTTTAATAAAATGTTTATTATTACCTTTGTATTATTTTCTGTATACAAGAATGTGTAACAAAAGCCAAATAAGCAATCCATTTGAGTCTTTTATAAATGGTAAGGCATGTCTGCATGTATAATCATCAACTTCAGTTCCCCCAAAACACTTCAAACAGCGTGCACTGACAGCTCCAGAAACCTTCATGTGCTCCTTAGTTATCTGATTTTGCAAATCACAACAGTACCACACTCACAGCATATGTTTCAGCAAAAGTGCAGCAAACGATTAACATCAAAACATTCTGTAAAAAACCTCAGCAGACCACGATTTTACTACTTTTTCCAGTTTTTTCAAATGCCAGCGAGAACGAGAGAGACAAAAAAGGGCTCACAGACTTTAAGTTAAGCATTGAAGCATCTCAGACAGTGATACTCTTTGTCAGACCAGGGTAACGTAGCTTGTCAGGAGAGAGGAATACACAAGCCAGTGGAAAATGGCAAACATTCCTCTTGTAATGAGAGGAGCCTGTTGTTTGTACCAGTACAAGCTCTTTGGAAAAAGTATTTTCTTAATTTTCTTTACTGTATTTCAAGAACACCAGTAAAGACCTGCCGTATCCTCACTCATCCAAAACTCTTGTTGTTGCAATGACAGATCTTGTGGAGGCTCTTGCACATGCATTATACCTTTGAGTGGCTACAGATGTTTGCTGAGTTTTTACGCTTTCAAAAACTTAAATGTTAAGTTTCTCGCTCACTTCTGACCCTGACTCAGAAATATCTGCCTCCACAAATGTGTTTTTTTAATACTTAAAAACTGAATGTATATGGCAGTATTTGACTGCAGCAATATATAACCCACTAACTTGCAGTTCTAATAGACTCTTTTCTCTTTCTTCACTGTTCTCTGTTTCTCTTCTGTTATCTTCTGTTATCTTTTTTAATCAATTATAGAATCACTAAATGACAAAGAACATCCAAATGCAACTGTGTTACTGCACAATTTAATCTAGTTTTGGGGAACAATATGACACCAAAATAAAAGTGCTGACAAAACAACTATTTGTGTTAAATTCTAAAATGTAAGAGTTGATGTATTCTCTGAGAAATGTAAATGCCTGAAGCATCTTTTAACTCTTTCTGAAAGGGCAGGGCGGTGGGCTCTCTGTGCTCATGTTAAGATGATTCGGCTGAGGACTCACGAGCAATCCAAAATATCGAAGACAAAGGTTTGACACAGCGTAAGCCATGCAACTTCTGGGGAAAACAATATTTGAGACTTTGAGAGTTTGGTAAACTGTGTTTATATGTGTTTCGTTTCCCCTGGTTCTGTCTGATACAGGCTTTGACCTCGAAAAGGCTCAACAGGCTTACACCCCGCAGCAGTATGCACGGAAATTTGCATGTACTCTTTCGACCATCACAATAGATTTATATTTATATAACGGGACCAATGAGATAAATATGATGAGATGAAGATGATCTCCTCTCCCTCTTGCTCCAGTACCACAGTGGCAAATGTTGCCTAAACCAAAGCATCTACACTTTTCCAGCTATGGATACGATGCATGGAGGTCTCCCACAGGTGATCATTTCTCTACGGATTATGTTCATGGTGGTCTTCTCCCAATGCTGCTGCCTGGCTTTGCTGATGAGTACCCTTTTCCTTTGCTCCATTCCATTGTCTAAGACCTTTTTGGCTTCCTCTTAGCTACCTGGACTGTGTTTTTGTTTGGAGAATTCCTTTAATATTTGTATTACTGCTGAGCTGCTGTCTTCCTCGTCAGTGACTATGTCATAGCTGCGATACTGGTATTGATATTTGATAATGACATTTCTATGTTATCTTTATACTTCCCCTTTTCTAGTCAGGTTTTAACTGAATTTTATGATCATGTGCTTTATGTACAAGTCTGTTTGAATAGCATTTAGTTTTTTATCTTTACACCAACCAAAATATACGTAAAACCAAGTTATTGGTTTAATACACTCAACAGTTTTGGGGAGGACGTTTTTGATCAGCTCAGTGTCGTCTATCCTCAGGCTTCGGTTGGATAGACTGTCTTCTGCCACAACTAAGGTTTACGCACCAGAGATTTAAATAGCCTGCTGGTTTTGGTGGGAGTCTGCTGTTCAGCTACCTTCTCCTAAAGCGGCTTTCCGCAGGGAGTGAGATGACGTGAAATGTTTCCATCTGTTCTGCAATGGGAGTTCCTGTGGTGATTGGGGTCTCTCTGTGAGGTGCTGTCTGTGAAGACAACCATGTCGCTGCTGCAAACTTTGGCAATGTGGATATCAATCTACTTTAGTTGTTTGCTCATTTGAAGGGACCACAAAGCCTGATTTGTGCCTTAAAACATCAGATAGTTTTACAGGTCTTGACTGTTGCAGCTTGATGCTGCGATCACTCTTGTGTCCTATGCTTGCTTACTCTGCTCTGTGTAATGTGCAGACTCCTTGAGATGTTCACAGCAGCTGTTGATTTGTCACAACAATGCGTTTGGAGACTTACTTATTGGTTATGTGAAAGCATTTCAGGTGCTTATGAGCTGATGAGATTGGATCCTCCAGGCACACTCCATCATAAGGGTGGCAGCCTTAAATCTTTGTGGAAAAATCTACATTTGTTCCTTTGTTTGTTTTTTTGCAATGCCTGCATCATTTCTGGAACCTCCTTTTTTTGTGTGACCAGAGGTCATGTCCATGGTGTTGTATTGGAGTGCAAACTATTGGCCTTGCTCCTTTCAGAACAAGTTAGAGGTACATGACTGTTGAGAGTATAATGAAGGTTATGAATAGTAACGCTAGTTCTAAAAGCACGGTCAGACCTCAGCACCTTGCTTCTTTTTGTGTTGCTGACTTTGTACATGCCTTTTAAGAAGACCTTGCCACTTGTATAACTTGCAGCCAGACAGGGTGGTGGGTCTGTTCTGATTGGCCAAACAAGAACATGCAAATTTCATTGTGGTGCTCCATAAGATGTGAGTGGGTAAACCTGTAGAGCCTGTCAGAGGGCTGAGCTTTCATGAGTAGGGTTAGAATGTGTAGTCTTACATATATGTAATATATACATAAATCATTTCCATAACTAATTAAAGCATGAGGACCAAGAAAATAAACGACAATGTCATTAGCATTACCTAATATCCATAATATATTCTGAGAAATAAAAAGGAAATCTGAATTGTTTAAGCGGATGTTAAGTACCCAAACCGAAAATGAGTAAATCCGGTAACTGAATATCGTTAGCAGGCAATTGTAGTATAATGGCTTAATGTTTATATGTGATATAACTTGTAAAAACAGATAATACATTTATAAAAATGTAGCCATCTACTAAACCAGTAATATTACATTACAGTACCCCCCAGTGAAATACATACTGCAACTGTTTATGAGTACAATACAGTTAAATGATCTGAAAATATAGATTTTCTGTCTCTATGGGGTGGATGTTTGCTCTAGCTTTATAAACGTATGAAGCCGACAAAAATAATCTGTGCAAAGTAGTTCTCCTAGTGCAGTACATTAGCACTTTCTTAGAGATAATTAAATGTGCAACTATAAAGTGGCTGTAAGAACTGCTGTTTCCTGAACTGATCTGACCAAACGGGAAACCAGGTGAACTGCTAGCACTGCACAATCCTGTACCAACCAATGCCAAAAACTGTGTAGCCTACATACAAAAAACCTAAAAACAATGTTTTTTTGTCAGTTAACATCATTTCCACACATGCACACAGTAAGACTTTTGTCTGAGGCGGAGGAGACTAATAGGGCAAAATGTGTGTTGTCTCATTTGCACAATTCCATTATACAAAAAAAAAGAAAAAAACAATCAGATCAGATGATTTTTACTTTCTCAAAGAGAGGTATGTTCTCTAAAACCCACTTTAGAATAATGAGAAATCACCACATTTTCTTTTTTTCAGAGATGTGAAAGCTGGTTCAATGATGGCACCGAGCATTCTTTGGGGGACGAGCAGGTTGCAGCACTGCACTCACTTCCAGTCCTACGGTACCATACTACACAGTAAGCCATTCTCGACAGGTTTCCAAGAGCTTCTACATGTCCAGTGAGGGAACAGCAGTAGAACTTGCTGTTAAACATACTGTACGTATAGTATAAAAGTCAGTCATCGGGCCACACTCGTGTATTATCTCCATTGAGTCTGCAATGCCTGGAGTGGGAGTGTGAGGGCGGCCATCACCAGCAGTAGGGAGGGTCCGCGGGAAAATGACTTGCCTGCGGCTGCGGCTGCTGCTGCGCGTTCATCACTTCTGTCGGCTCCGATCACAGGAGCCTCTGTTCCAACAAAAACAAACTCTGTTGTGCAGCCGTCAGAGCAGCCGCTGCCACTGCCAGAGGTACTGCCCTCGTCACCTGTGGCAAACAAAGGAAATCACACAAATTTAAATTTACATTAAAATAATATCGTCACAAGCAGTCATTAGTTTGGTTCATTAGTTTGGTTCAAAGGGGAAGTGAGAAAGCCCTGGTTACACCAGAAAGTGGCACTTCAAAACTCCCCCACGGATCCTAGAGACATAGGTGGTGCTAAAATTTGGTTATTGTAGTTTGTTAAGTTTTTTTCATACACTAAGTATCACCATCCAAATACACTTTGATATGTACACCAGTGAGTGAAAATATCACTGTCATTATGCTGAACAGCAAAGTATTTGCTGCAGAGGTATCACTTCATGATTGTGTCTGTGGCTTTTATGTTTTTTTAATAATCTTTTGTGCTCTCTTAATAAATATATATGAAATACATATATGGATTGTACCTTTAAGTCTGTAAAGTTTTATTGAGCTACTTCTGTGTTATAACAGGCTAGATATACTCTTTGAATACTAATTCACTTCAATTCTCCAAACACAATTCCAGAGATGTCTTATTCGGTTGAAATACATTAATCTTTTCTCACTGTGGGAGCCAGAGTAAAATCACTTTCCACCTGTTTAATGTGGAGCAAAAAAAACGGTGAGAAAAGAGGGCGACAATATGATGGGATTTCAGATTTTCTCAAATGATTTATAAGCACTTCATTGCTAACCTGACCTGCTAGATGGTTTGTTCCACAGAACCACTTTTGCAATATAGGTGGCAGATGATTGGATGAACCATTTGTCAATCAAACTCTTTCCGAAGTGAAGAGCAGCAAAAACACGTTTTCCATCGAGAAAAACCTTCAGTGTCGTTCTTTGCTTTTCTTTCAATGAAGAAATACTCACCAGGTCTACGCTAACCTACCAGTAGCCGCCTTTGTTATTTTGAACTAAGAAGTGCCTCTCTCTGTCGTCTCACACACACCTAAGCCAATAGCTCCTCACAGGATGCTGATTGGTCCGTGCTCTGGCTTACCGGACATAAACAAATTACTTGAAGCCTGACAAGATGGAATTTCTCATCTCTTGCATGATCTTGTGAAAACGCAATAATCCAGCTGCTGTGCAAGGTAACTTAATTACTAATAACCCTAATAACCACTGCAAGTGTGTGACAAATGAAGCATTTAATGAGAAGGGGGCCCAATAAGGCCGCATATGTTCGGGCCCAGACTGTCAGTGACGATGGTGATTGAGTAAGGTTTTTGGGGAGAATGTATTAAAATTAACTGACTTCACAAAGTTTCTTCTCATCCTAAGTGCCTGGTCTTTGCAGGTGACAGAGATATTAATCTATGCAAAACATCTTGTTGCAGCAGTACTGGGTTTTCTAGTGTCGAAGAAGACTACACTCCTAACAAACATGACGGCAACAAAAATGGAGTTGCAGTAGTCATGCAGTCACACATTTCATTTGAAGCTCAGAGAATCTTCCATCTTGTCAGCTGAATGGATCCATAATCAGGAGGAAAGAATGGTTACTGTCATGGCAGCATTGGAGATGTACATCTTCCTAAACATAGCTGTGGCTCTCCATCAACGTCTGTGTCACCGTACCTACAGTGATTTCTTCTCCTAATAATGTCAGACTTGCCTCAGTGCAACACTGATGCACCCTGTGGAGTTGTGTGATGAGTTGCTACATGAATGACACCTGGGATCTTATTTCGAAACAGTTTACAGTTTATATTTCTGCGGGGGTTTTGTGTGTGTGTGTGTGTGTGTGTGTGTCTAAGTGTGGTCCGACAGAAACTTTTCTCTCTGTATTTTACTGTAAATTATTATTATTATTATTATCTCGTCTCCACCTGCACTTGCAAACACCTAAGGGATTGGAGAACTTACTTGAGTCCTGGAAGTAGATGTCATTTCCATTGTAAGCATTCTTTAGCTTGTTGGTCATGACACGTAGAGCCATGATCTGCTGTCGTATCAGTGTGTCAGGCCTGGTGATATCCACATCCACCTCTGGGTTGTTTACCTGGTTGGTTAGACCCTCCTTCACCACTTCAGGGAAATATCTGGACACAATCACACAGCATCAACTTGAATCACCTAAAATCTCCAAATACTGGAAGCACTTTTTATTAAATGGGCCTTTATGGGAATATTTTCTAGATGTATTTCAAAACGTCTGGTTGATATACAGATATATATATATATATGCATCCACAAAAAAAGTTAAGTAAATTAAAATATGTAGAAAACAATGTTGTCCATATTTGCTTGATTTCCCTTTAATTTGCCTTCCAAGAACTGTCAGAAATCAAAACAGTATCTACAATTCAATTCAATCTACTGTATGGTTGCTGACAGAGTTCAACACACTCTATCTTCAGGAAAACATAATAATAAAAATAGAGAAGTGTTACTTCACGGAAGACGACTCATATTTAAAAACACAAATAGCCGCAAATGAATAAAACTTGTCTATTTATGCCATATTTATTTCATTTGCTTGTGTTTTATTTGTTTGCAGCATATGTGGTGTGAAAGCGGTGAGGATGTTGTTGTCACTTGCCAGTATCAGCCCCTTATGCAGCCATTGTGTCTTTCACTAACTGAAGTGTGTTTGACCAGTACTTTGCATCCTATCGCCACAACATCACACACAGATAATCTGTCGAAATTGTGGAACTTGTGTGAATATCTTATGATCTTGGTGTAACAGGCTGAGAACTGACTGAATTAGACCAAATGAAATGAGATGGATTCATAAGAGCTACTCTTTTGGACGACGGCTGCTTAAATCAAGCAAAACACAAGTGTGTAATCAGGCTCAACAGTCTATTTCAAGTTGGGAGTAGTTGCACTTTGCTACAGAGAGCCTGTGCCTGATGCCCACAGATGACTACTATTTTGTTAAACATAGTAAATCAAAAACATTTTAAGTGAAGCGCAATAAAAAAAAATGCATTGCATATGTATCATTTAATTCCATATGTTGATATGTCACCATTGAACCATTATATTCGTATTTAATTTGATATGTTTTATACAAAGTGAAGTTTGCAAAGTAACAGGAGAATCCGCTGAATTCATAACACACTACTAACATGGTCTAACTTATACTGATGGTTTATCATCACTGGGCAATCAAATTACCTTCTAGATTTAGAGCGATGCCTACAAATGTTACTGGCACAAACAAGATATCTAGCATGTCTTTTATTGCACCATCTGGTGATTTTGTCACTTGGAGAGGGCCAAAGTGATGGGGTGATACATTTTCTCTGCCAGTGTTCCAGTTCACTGTCAGAGAAAACAACTCACTGTCCAATCTACTGTATAGCTCGGTGACACTCTACACGCTGCAGTGGTGATAAGAGGTGTTTGAAACTCCACAGGCCTCTGAGTATTAGAGCCTCGGAGCTTATATGGAAGTTTTCCATATAAGCACTAACCATTGTACTTACACAGAGACTGTTAATCTGGGAACACAGTGTGGGTATTTTAATCCCTGGCAGGCAAAATGTGATAACTGTGGAGTGGGGTGACTTTGCTGTGGTTATAAAGAGTAACAGAAGTCCTCACCTGCCCTTCGTGTGGCTGTTCCAGCACTGATCCTCGTCAGACTCTGTGAGCTTGCCCTTGGCACAGATGTCATCTGGCAGGTTGGACCAGAACTTCTTGGACTCTTTCAATTTCTCTTTGATGTCAATCACCTGCCGTGGACCAAAACAGAAATATAATATATATTAGGGTTGATCATTTTGTATTTTAAAGGCTGAGAAGTCAGGATGAGAAGTGACACAGATTTACGTAGTTCTCAGAATTTAAAATAGATTCCACTACTTTCAGTTAAAACATAAAAGAGAGATAAAACAAACACAAATACAACAGACTCCAATAGCTACATCTCTGTATAGGAGTGTAAAACATTGCGATTTTAAACATTCATGTGGCAGCAAACGTGTATGTAGTTGCAGTACCCCTTCTGTTCCTTTATTCCATCAGGAGAGAAGTACTTTTGGGACTGTGATTATTTTTCTTCCCATTTTGCTTCTTGTCCACTTCTATCCATATTGTGATAATTGTTGATTCAAACAAGACAGACTCGGGGTTTAGAATTTGATATTTGGCATGAGCTGTCATGCTCATGCCATCAGCTGACAGATTCCATCTGGACTCAGCAAGAAGTTTGAGGGGGTGACCAGTAAACAGGCGAAAAAAACAAAAAACAAGAGGACTCATCGTGTACAGAAGCACATTGTGTCCCTTTTGTCGTTCCGTTCTTTATGCATGAAGCTAGACCAGCAGCCTGTTAGCTTAGCTTAGCACAAAGACTGGTAACAGGGGGAAACAGCTAGCCTGGCGCTGTCTCAATGAAACTAAATCCGCTGACCAGCACCTTTTAAAGCTCCCTCATTTACACAATATATTGATTTAGTTGATCCATACAAAAGAGAAAGTCTAGAAAACACAAGATGCTATTTTTACATAGGAGTTATAAGCTGCCCTGTTTGTTGGCGGCAGTGACTTCCTGGAATGTCAGTAAATTCAGCATGGAAGATTAGTACAGCTAAATAAAAAAAGCCTGAATGGAACCAAAAAGGCAGGTTTTGTTCAGCTTAAAAACTCAAAACAAATAGACAAACAAATTCCAAAGGTATTAAATCCTGCATCCATAAAACAAAGAGCCTTGTATTAGACAGCGAGTTGATGTATTCATTTTGTGTGTGTGTGTTTAGGTGTCTTTTAAAATATATATTTGGCAAGAAAGAACATTGTTGATGGGTCACAACCTTCTCTGTGAATTGCTATTGCTTTCAACAGGGTTGCAATTTTTTCTGTAAATTGTTTTGGACTTGAACCAATTTCACCTGCTGCAATCTTCAAGGCTCTGAAAAGCTTAGACTGTTAAATATCTGTCTCATACAATTTATACCCAAATATTTCAAAAACAACATCTGATTTAATGCAAAGCCCAATGCCTTTGTTTTCACACAGAAGTAAACAGAAGCAGCCTCTCATTTCTAACATCTAACAACCATTGATTTTATCAGCTGAATAGACAATAATTTCAATAAGATGTTAGATTTGAGCTGTATGGTTTGTACACTAAATCCTATTTTAAATGTTGGGTGATAGCCTACTATCTCAGGTAACAAGTTTGGCTGGAGTTGTTGGAGCATAAATCTCAATGAACAGGCTCTATATATGTACAAATGTATGTATGTATATATGTATGTATATATATATAATAATATTAGAACCCACCAATTTTCATCCGACGATGAAATATAGCTTCTTGCCCCCAGAGGCTTATCTGTCGTCAGACTGCCCAAATGAGCTCAGAGTTTGTTGGAATGTAAACTTCCCAAAGCAAAAAGAAGAGCAGGACAGAGCCAATAAATTGACTCCAAACACGGTTATACACTGTTATAGCAGTGGATATGTCAGTTCTGAAAGTAGCCTGGTACCCTTAAAAATAATGTAGCAAGTATCTAGTAGTAAAAAGCTCTTTGGCTTTGGGGAACAGGTAAATACTGTCGGTAGTGTCAAAAAAGAAGGCTGAGATCCCAGGAAAGCTGCCTTAAATGAAGGAATACAGTTCGATATGAAAGTAGGCTAAAGGGACACAAAGCATATAATTAGTAAAGGATGAAGTCTAATAATCATTTTAAAGCAAGTATGTATAACAAGAATAATGAAGTGATTTAACAAATGTAAAACTGATAATAATAATGTATGTGTAACTGAGTAAAGTGAAGTCTGTGTGTGTGTGGAAAGAGCTGATGTAAGCAGGGTGGGGGTCTTAAAGGCTGAGATCATAACAGATGTGGGGGTGTTGTCCGAACACATACACAGGTGTAACCTGAAACACGCTCAAACATTGAGGAAGTGAGAACTCCACAGAGGGAAGTTAGGTGTGTCTAGCACACACACACACACAGAAAGTTGGGTGTTGTTAGCAGCACACACACATGATCAATGATGTCATGTCAATCACATGCCGAGTAAGGGAGTGTTGGGGAGGAGGGGGGAAAGAGAGCTCAAAGTGTTATAAAAAGAGAGACTTGCAAATAGCAAGACGGGATTCAACGCGGGAGCCACCCAAGTGCTCCACGGAGGAAACACTGGACCTCGACAGCCGCATCGGAGGACTTCGTCTCTGTTCACGGAAAGAAGGCAGCCGTTCCTGGACAAAGATTGAAAGACGGAGATTTTCCTCTCCCCCCTGTTTGACTTTAACAACCGGACAACAGATGGACGCAGCCGCCCCAAAGACTTTGTACTGAGCCTGAGGGATCGCTGAAAGGACTTCGTTGGCCGCGCAGGAGGAGCCGAAGGTTCGGCCGGTCCTTCGCTCCTAAAAACCCCAAAAGGACTTTTTACCACATCGTGAATCCAGCTGCACCGAGCCGCCTCGGCATCGAAAATGAACGAGTATAACCTAAGAAGAGATTGTAACCTGATCGAATCAAGTATAGTATTATTTTATGTGAGCTGTAGCTGTGCCCCTGCTAATATATCCTGCAATAAATATCTAATCTGCATTTAAAGTAAAGTTCTCAAGAGAATTCATTTGCCTAAGTAGTAGAAGTTCCTCGTGGCAGTAAAAGGTTAAATCTGTTGTATGTTTAACAACAAGAGTTCTTAATGGTTATCCTAGTGACCGGTCCAGCTGAGTCAGTAGGTAGCGCCGTATCGGGCCAGTGAAAACCCCCGGATCTAACAGTAGTAAGCTAGTTACTTTGGCATGATAATGCAGTTAGATGCCAAATATCACTCTTACTACACCCCGAACACATTACTTGGGATAAAATATAAAGCTATGACGAGTCAGGGGATGGGATTACCAATAGGGGGTTGTTATTGTGTTCTGTCAAAAAGAAAACAACTTAAAATTTACAGTGCTTCTTGGGTTCAGATCTTTAGTCAACATACATGTATCTATGGACGAGATAAAATTTGTCAGTCGTCAGGTGTAAATCCTGGGGGCACTCTGCATGTTGAAGCAGTGTGCTTTGTGGTTGGTGAAGGACGTGGAGCTGACTGCTCTGCTGTTTTAGGCTGGTGGAGAGACAGTTGAGAGAGATTGGAAGCTATCAGGTTAGTTCTACCGTGCCTGAGCTAATAACCCAGTGAGCAGCAATATGTTTTATATATTGGTGTAGCCTGTGGTTCATTCAATAAAGCCTTTGCTGAATAGAGTAAACACCTCATACAGTATAAATTAACTCTGCTTTCTTGAGAGTGCTGGGAATTTGACAGGTTATATAACTACTTTCCCATTATGCTAAATATCTAACAGTCTGACAGATCTGCATGCACCAGCTGTTGTTCTGAAAACAATCCCTCACTGAGATTTAAAAATGAATTTAGTAAAGGTGGGAAATGGAGTGGTCCACCTTGTGGTTCATTCAGGTTTTTTGGGCTTTAATAAAGAGTTTATGCTGGGTTGGGAACCGTTGCTGTTGTGGGTCTGGAAAGCCGAAACAAACAAACTTTACTTGAGTACATAAACTGAGTTTATATGCCTTCTTGTCACCATTTTTCTGTCGCAGTTTTTCATGCATGTAGCTATAGCTAGCTAGCTATGTAGGAAAATGATGTCAACATTTTAATACAGGCTGCTAAGCTGATTGGTTAACATGTTTCTCAAACGAGAGGAAACCAAGCCCCCAGGAAGAGCGCCAGCCTTGAAGCAAATTTGACATAGTTGCCAAATGGTGGAAGTACAATTTACGGGTCTGTCATGTGATGCCATTGAGCTCAGAAAGACGATTCTTTATAGACTCAAATAAGGAAAAGGAATTTTTGTTGAGGTGAATCAACTTCCCAATGTGAACACTTAAAAAGCCCATATTTAAATGATTAGGTCCTAAAAGTTGCAAAATTAGTTATTTTCCTTCCCCCGTTCATGTGAATGAGCCCATGGCTGAGCGGCGGGGTTAAGGGAAACGCTAGCGTGCTTGCTCTATGGGCTTGCCAGGATGCAGAAGATCACCGGATGAGTATTTCCATCTGAAGTCAGGACTCATACTTGTTTTTTTCTCTATGCACCAATGAGCAACTTTCTTAGGAATGAACGGGCCCTTGCCTTCAACGCTTTATCCAGTTTTCTTTACATCCATTGAAGAAACCAGCGTCAATGGCCACAACACCAGACCACCAAACTTAAAGTTCTGAAAACCATGTAAAAAAATATATTCTCATCCCATTTATTTATTCTTGACCTTCCAGTTACAGTTAAAGCCCTCATTATTCATACAAAGTTCACGTGGACACCAGTAATAGCCAAAAAAAGCCAAATACCACACACGCACACACGACACTCATCATGTTCTAGCTACACTGGGGATTTGGGAGAGTGCATACAGTGAAGCCTCGGGTCTTAACAAGACATGAAAGGGCCTGTACCAACAGGATGCCACTGCAGGAGACTGCCCTCACATTTGATGTGGTTGTTCTGTCATGGGCACACCAAAGCTTGTAAGGTTTAACACATCCTGGTGTGGTTGTCATGATGGCCCAAGCATCCTGGCACTGACAACTAAATATAGATCATATCAGAATGTGCTTGGTTGTTATACTTGAACCTCCAAATTTATAAATGTATGTGGTCTATTCTGACAGCCAAATGACTGTGGAGAAATTTATATTTATAAACATAAGTAAATGAAACCATTAATGATTCATTTGGAAATTCATTTGGAAA